GCAGCACAGTTTTTTAAACTAGCTTGTTTCAATCTTTTTTAAGCTGTTCGAAGAGATCCTGGAAATTGTGTATCTTCTCGGGCCTTAACTGCGCTATTGAAAGGATTTTGCATAATATGTGCGACAAGAGCATTGTCTTCATTTTTGTTGGAGATTTTTCCTACACCTTGCCTGATAGGTCTTCTTAATCTTTGTTGTTCTTGCCAATGTTTTTTGATATAAAATATGCAGCTTTTACTGACATTTTAATCTGCATCTACTTCACTTAAAGACCAATTTTCTTCTAATTTGGCTATTGCCCTGGACCTCTGAGCCTCGGTTAAGTGGGGTGGCATTTTTAATATTGCAATTGACAACTATTATCAAATTTGACAACTACCGACGACACTGATGCAAAGCCCATATTACACGATTAAATTTTGCCGTTCACATTTCGGGGACGCCAATTGTACATAGCTTTAGACCGAGATTTACACATTTATCCCGAAATTTCCACGAGATGTGGCATCACGCGGGTGAAACCATGGGGCGCAGCTAATTATTATATAAGTAATAGAAAATATATGGCCGCTAGAGGGGCGCCGATGAGGTGCTTGCCTAGGGCGCTCTCGACATTTAATGCGCCTCTGTATAGGGTATGCTACGACAAATCAATTAAGATTAATATTGCGGGTCGAATGGTGTGAAAATTTGATGGTTGTTACTTTGAAATAAAAAAGTTATAAGCCTTTAAAGTGGCAAAAAAGTAAACCGAATAAATATATCAAAAGCAATTGAAGATAGAAAAACGATTTTTTTTTAATTTTAATATATAAACCTGTAATGAATCAGTTAGATGAATTACAATGGTGCCAGTGGTGCGGTGGCACCAGGGACCGCGTCATTGGGGGCTCGGTGGCTCTGTTAAAGCGCCAAAAAACAGCTTAAAATAATTTGTGGTAATTTTAAAAACCCATGTGTGACCCATCTTGGTAAACTGTTTTTTTGGAGCAAAAAACGCCATATTTGTACAAAATACGAGGCCTACTATGTCAGATTTTAAGAGAAAGTTTTTAAGAATTCATATTAGCGAATTTTTAAACAAAATCTAAGCACGGCACTGGAGTCACCACCCCTATACTAAATTTTATTCAACTATAAGTTTTATTTTATTTTAATATTTTTTTCATGGATAATTTGGCATAATAAATTTTTGTAGTTATTTTTTTGCATTTTTCAACTTAAAATTTTTCAATAAAATTTAGTATAGGATCGTTTTGAGGGGTGGTGAATCCAGTGCCGTGCTTAGATTTTGTTAAAAAAAATCGCTAATATGAATTCTTAAAAATTTACTCTTAAAAACTGACATAGTAAGCCTTTAATTTTGTAAAAATATAGCGTTTTTTCCAAAAATACAGTTTCTCAAGATCTACACTTAAAAACAAATCAGGTTAAAGTCGCACAATAAATAAGGATTTTACAGATATGAGTCCCAAACAAATGGGTAACACTGAATAGCCAATATCTTTAAAAGCACAATCGATAAATAATATTTAAAAAGGAACCAAAACAGAAACCCTTTTCAACTCAACTCCATCTACCCCAAAATATTCAATGGATACCTTGTTTGAAAGGTGCCTTAAATTCTCTAAATAATTCTGTAAAAAAATTATGGTTTCCCTATTTTTATAAATCGCGTTTAAAGGAGTCCAATAATTAATAGTTATTGAAAAAGAAAAATACTTCATATTAATTAATTAAATGTTTAAAATGTTCTCCATTATTTTGAATACAATAGTAAAGACGATTATAACATTCTTGTCGTAATTTTTCAAAAGTTTATGGTGTGATGTTCCGGCTTGCTTTAACTATTTATTTATATTTATTTAATGTTGTAGATCTTGTAGCGAGGTAAATTCTGATAAACTAAGGACTTAATGTATTCCCAAGGCGGTTAAATCTGGTGATCTTGGGGGGCACTCTAACGGTCCTCTTTGACCAACCTATTTGCAAGGAAAAATCAAGTTATTCCAATTTATGACTGGCAATGCAATCTTCGAGTTCTTATGTAATTAATACATCATTAATATATTCTAGTAAATTTAAGTAGAAAGATTTCCTTAATTAAAAATTAGGCCAGCAATTTTATTTCTCAAAATGCCGGCCCAAGCATTAAAAAAAGTCCAAGGGGGTTAAATCTGTTAATCTTGGGGGACACTATAACGGTCCTCTTTGACAAACCTATTTGCCAGGAAAAATCAAGTTATTCCAATTTATGACTGGAAAATGCAATCTTCGAGTTCTTATGGAATTAATACATCATTAATATCTTCTAGTAAATTTAATTAGAAAGATTTCCTTACCCCTTCATTAGTCGCACTGTTTTCTGAAACGCCATTAGTCGCTTCGGTGTCCAAGACCGAAAGTTAAAAATTACGTTCATTAAATATCTTGTGGGTATATTTAAATTTTTAAGAAAAACACTATGTTAATACTTTTAAAAGTAATGTTTTTAATAAACAAACAAACATAACAAAATATTAATATAAGAACAAAAAATTAGTATAATTCATCAAAAGAAATATTTTGTTCTGACTCGCTATTTTCATGCCTTTCCTTTACGAAATCTTCTTCGGCGTTGTCTTCATCGTCATTAAAATTACTTTCATTTTCAGAATATTTCTCTTCCATTAGTTTTTAAAGTCATTGTTGGTCGGCTATGGAAGAATACATAATTTTTAAAACCTTAATACTCGCATCGGTCTCTCGCACCGAAATAAATTCTGGAAGCCGCTAAATCACACCCATGCGCCAACCCTTAAGTTCGAACAGCTAATGTAGGAAGGTACCTAGGAGGGGATAGCGCAAAGTCGATGCGCTAAAGAAGTACGTTAAAAAATTTAAAGCGTCGATCTCACACACCGGGTGCGACTAATCAAGGGTTAATTAAAAATTTGGCCAGCAATTTTATTTCTCAAAATGCTGGCCAAAGCAATTAAATTTAATTTAAATGTGATAGATAGATAGATAGTTTATTGATCCAAAGGGCATATTTACATATGTATAGGACAAGTCAAAACATTTTAATATAATATACAACAAATAAATGTAGATAACAACATAGAAACATTATTAATTCCAAAGATAAATACGTTATAGTTACAGTTACAACATGTTATATTTAAACATCTTTTAATTTAATTTTAAAAGCATTTACACTATAAAAAACATGACTTATCAGGTAATCTCGCAGTCTTTTCTTAAATGCCTTTGTTGGAAGGCATGTCATATCAGCAGGCAACAAATTAAATAGAGTTGGGCCGTAATAATTAAAACAGTTTCGACTGGACTCCAATCGTAAAAATGGTAACCTTATCCTGTCTTTGTTACGAGTATTTGGACCCAGAGGTACATGCGTATCATAATTTGACAATCTATCCCTGGTAGCACAAATCGAGTCATAAATGAGGAGACTGGGAAAAGTTAATAATCCCATTTGAGTAAACTTATGCTGGATGTCGTCGATATCTGCTACCAGACATCGTTCTTACAGCAGGCCTCTGAAGTCCAAACACTAGGTCTGCGTGTGCACTGAAACTCCAGATTGTTAAGCCATATCTCATGTGTGACATAAATAATGAGTGATAGGCATTTATTAAAACTTCGTACGGAACCACATCCTTAGGATTACGGAGGAGGAACACAGTTTTATTTAGCTTCAATGACAGTTGGTCAATATGATATTTGAAGTTCAATTTTTGATCAAAATATACTCCTAGGAATCTTGGACACCCACCATTTTCCACAGTAATTAAGACTTAAGGAATTGGCACAGAACCAGTCATTGAGTTTGTCCGTACTATTTTTAATACGTGCGTTTAGATTATTCAAGTCATTATGTGCTGAGATAAGGGTGGTATCATCTGCAAATAAGACCAGGTCATCTTCAGGGACCGACTAAGCAATGTCATTCATATGAATTAGGAATAGTATGGGACCAAGAACACTCCCCTGCGGCACACCTATAGATATATGAGCCTTTTTCGACTGTGCGCCATTGGCACAAGTGTACTGTTGCCTATTTTCTATAAATGATTTTACTAGTGATAGGCTTAAGTGGTTGAATCTATACGTCGTTTTTAGTTTGTTTAGGAGTACGTTATGAGGCACACAGTCGAAGGCTTTTTGCAAGTCAAAGAGTACACCATAGACAACGTCCCCGTTCTCCATACCGTTCACAACAATGGACAATAGATGTTCCATAGTCCCAGTTGTGGACCTGTTTCTTCTAAAACCATACTGATTTCTATAAAATAAGTTGTTAGTTTCAAAATGTTGAACAATTTGGTTTTTAAGAATACTTTCAAAGATTTTAGAAAAACTGGTAATATGTCTATGGGCCTAAAATTGTTGGTTTGGTCAGTCGGACCCTTCTTATAGATGGGGCAAACCTTTGCAATTTTCAGATCTGAGGGATATATTCCCTTTCTAACACATTCGTTAAATAATTTTGTCAAAGGAATATACAAAAGGAACTTAACCTCTTTGACCAGCTCTGTTGACAATTCATAAGGGTCTCTTGTTTTTTTGTTTTTTATTGTGTGTAGGACATCAAGCATATTTATATAAGATATTTCCCGAAAGCGAAAATGTGGAGCATCGAAGTTATCAGGCAGATAATCCCCATATAAACGGCATGGTGTAGGCAACCCCCTGACAATAGTGTCAGCGACATTGACAAAAAAATTATTAAAAGTTTCCAGCTCAATTTTTGTTGAATTATTAGAGTTTATAATGTCCCAGTAGGATTTTGGGGTATTGTGATTTTTCGTAATATAATCTTTGTTGAAATCTTTTTTTGTTTGTTTTACTCTTTTATTATAGTATAATTTACAGGTCCAGATCATTGGAATCCCCTTGGATTGAACGATTGTTTTGATGTTTGTTGACATTTTTATTCTTCTTCTTCTTCTGATTTTTCTTGTGGCACACAAGTTTGAAGCTAGTATCGAGCGAATTACCTTGTTCATCATTGTCTATCAGAGTAATAAATGAGTCGTTTAGGTTAGGTTTGTTAGTCGAATCGTTCACCGTTTCAACTTTGTCTTCTGTTTCAGAAATGGCGCTCGTATCAGGTTTGGGGCGCAGCTCCTTCTTTCCTTGGGGCTTCCTTAGAATGTCTTTTGAGGTTATGTTACTTACAGCTGATAAGATTGCATCTAATTTAGTATCTTGTTTTATGAGCTTCTTTTGTTGATTTTCAATGATCACTTGCATTTTTAGCACAGTCTCGTTAAGGTTTTTAAAGTTTTCCCATAGCGATTTACATGAATCGCAGACCCAGAAGATATTACAAAATCTTGAGCTGAGTAGTCGATATTCGTAATCTTTAAGGACAGTACACTTTTAATCGATTTATCGCAACTTTGACACAGTGCAAGTAAATCTGAGGACACCGCTGACGCCATGTTTTTTTGCGAAGGAATGGATTTTTATCACTTCAGTACCTACAATTCTGATTATTGACCTGTCCATTTAGGGAATTTCACAAAACTCCATTCTTATATCTGGATCATCATCACCTTACGCTTGTAAATTCTTTATATTATAATGGTGAAATTTTTATTTTCCCTAGATACTTGCCGAGCACCTGCATTTTTTTAATTTAGTTTTTATGCATTTTGCCTTAAATTTGTGTTTGTTGTTACGCTATAAAAAATACATACAAATTTTTTAAAAATGTTAACCTCTAGTTGAGAATTCTCTACCAGTATGCGGGTTGATCACTTTTTTTATTGTAAAAACAGCATTGCTGATTTTTTTTAATGTTGACCAGAGATAACTGATAAATTATCTGCTGGGTTACTATTGTAGAACGCAGCCTCACGTTCTTTAAAATTAGGTCAAAATTTATAAATTTACTGATTGACAAAATGATTTGTAAAACAATTTGTGAAATGATATTGAACAATTAAATTAAATTTAAATTATTAAAGACTTTTTATATTTGTATTCAATCACCAGATTTAACATTTATTTTTATCCAGTTTCTCTAAATTTGTCCAGAGTGTGACACAAGTTTTTATCTGGATGTCTCACTCGGAACTCCGCAGCAGTTCTTTAGGCACTTTGATTTTATGCACCATAAATAAAAATATTTCTTATAGTTCTTCTAAGCTGTACACCATTTACTTGAAAAAGGAGAACTTTGGTGATATGTTAAACAAATATTAGAAATATTTCCCCCAACACCAAAACAAAACACAAGTGCTTAAAATTCTTTTCGCCAACGATGTTGGCATCTTCAGAAGCGAAGTGTAACTGTTACGCTTCGCTTCTGAAGATGCCAACACCGTTGGCGAAAAGTATTTTAAGCACTTTGTGTTTTGTTTTGGTGTTGGGGAATATTTTTAATATTTGTTTGTACACCTTTTCGCAAAAATGTTCGTACAGAAACAATATTGACGAATGGATGTTGTTGACTGGTAAATCAGATACGTTATCTATCATTTAAACTGGAAAAAATTAAACTTTTTTTATTGAATTGATAAAATTACAAAATAACTTAAGCACAAATTAAATAATTTTGCCATATTTGATGGTATCAACGGGGACTACATGTAATTGCAATGAGGGCAGATTCCCAAAAAAAAATCTTGATATTTTAACAGAATCATAAATGATTTTAGTTATTTTGGTTTTACTAGTTGTTCGCATTTAAATGTGTTTATTATGAAAATAAGAGAATCGTTAAGAGAATTAAAAGACTTTGACACATTGAATATTTTAATGTTAGAGTAGCTGTTTTGGTTCTCCTTGAAACATGTTTTTAAAATTTTATTTATTGATTATCATTTAAAGATAAAGGGCAGTTTTCGGTGAAAAAAACTGTATGGTGCTACACAGAAAGAAGTACTTATTATTTAGATAAAGTCGACAAAAGGCTTCCAATACACAAAACTTATAGTTTTGCCCGGTCAACATTGTAACGTAACATTAACCAAAATGTTAAGTAACGATTGTGATGTGTACATTAATTTTGTTACATTACAATAGTTTCACAATGTTACGTTGCTGTTATTATAACATATTATTATATAATATTGCTTATTGGCAATTTTTTACATTACAATAGTTTCACAATGTTACGTTATTGTTATATTGCTTATTGGTAATTTTGTTATATTACAATAGTTTTACAATATAACGTTGCTTCTTAGTATCAAGTTTAAATTCTATACAAAAAATTATGTTTTATTGTGGTAATTTCAGAACCAATGTTTCGTTAAAATCACCTATTCATGTTATATCTTCAAATTATAATAAAATATGTAACTTTTGCAACATAAATAATTGTTCACTTAAAGAGTTGATTTCATGCATTTTTTTATATTTCATCTAGTTTAATATTGCTTTTTTTAATATATTTACATTTTGTTACTTAAATAAAAGTAATTCTTGTCCTGTAATTGGATTTTCTGTTGGGCAAATAAATACATTATTATTATTAATATTATTATTATTATTAATTGACTTAAGAGCACATCCTACCAAAAAGTGTCCTGGTGTACGTGCATCAAAACTACGCACACATTTAATAAACTATATCTTTTAATCGAACAAAAAAATGTATATATTTTTTTAATAAGTTTAAAGTACACCTTAATCTACATACATAAAAATTTCTATTTAAATAAAAAAATAAAAATTTACGTTTTAAAGACACATTGGTTAAATTAAGAGAAAAAAAATCATATAGGCATTTAACTACAATTGCCTCCGATTTTCACATGGATTTCTACATAAGGCTGTTCAGTAAACTTTACTTTATAAGTACACAAAATATTAGCTGCATATGGATAAGTTAGGATTTTTTATTTATCGCGCTGCATGGCTAAATCGCAAGAGCTCGTACCTAACCAAGGCATTGTATACGCACTAAAGATTTTCGTTCCCACAGATCCTTGCTCATAAGTTTTAGTTAAATTTATTAAATATTATATATATTTTAACATGCATTAATTTTGTTTAATATTATTAAAAAATATATACAAAGTATCCTATAGGATTAATAATTATTTACCTATTCATAACAAATTATTAGGTATTAATAGATTATCTAATAATCTATATTATAGTTTTTGAACTTTACCCTGTGGCGAGCTATGTGAATTATTGAAAATTTCTATACATATATATCAAATCAAATGTAGTCAGAACATTGACAAGGTTTTTAAAACAAAAATTAAGTCGCTAACTTGAACGGTTACAGAAATATGAATTTGTATATTAGCAACTTCAATTTAAAATATAAATACATCCGTGAGGTTTAACGAATAGTTAGTTAACGGGTAAACTTTTAATTTAATTTTGCCAATAAAATATTATATTATATAGCGAAAAACAAACAAAAAATCATTGGGTTAAAATATTTTTTTTTTAATAAAGAAATATTTGTTTAAAATTTATCTTTTTAATTTGTTGTACTAACCATTTTCTGTTGTAGTTATGATTAATAAATTAATTAGTGATTTTTGAAAAAAAATGTGTCCCAAAAATATTATTATTATTATTTCTTTGTTTGTATCTGATTGTACAGATTTTAGAAAAATTGATTTCTTGACATTAAAAATTATTAATGTTTTAGAAAACTGTCATATTTTGCATAATATAATTTTTTTTAAAAATTAATTTAATTATTCTAGAATACAATCTAAAATTCTGATTTTTTGCAGTCTTATAATTGAAATGTGAGCGCTTCTAATATAAATTCAGAAATTTTGAAAATTTCTAAAGATTTTGAAAAAAAAATTGCAATATAGAATTATCAAAATCGTTCATCAAAAACTTTACTCTGCGGCGAGCTATGTGAATTATTGAAAATTTCTATACATATATATCATGTCAAATATAATCAAAACATTGACAAAAAAAATTAAGTCGCTAACTTCAACGGTTGTAGAAATATGAATTTTTATCCAAATGCGTGCTAGAATCATACATATACCTAACTGGAATAGTATATTCTGTAACAAGTTTGGAATACGGCATATTCCGCTCTAGTGAAAAGTTTGTCACACGAGCCGAAGGCGAGTTTGACGGTTTCACGAGAGGTGAATATGCAATTCCAAACGTGTTTCAGAATATATTTTTTCTACGTTTCCAAAAAATACCATAGACAAATAATTTAATTGGAAGAAAGTGAGGTTGTATCGGTCTAAAATTTGTTAGATATTAAAAACAGAGATGTCGCCACGAGTGTTCATTCTGTCATCAGATGATAGAATATTTCATTCTGTAACACTTTACGGAATATATGTCATTCCATAGATAAAAGTGATATTAGAACGGTCATATTCCATAATAGGAGTAGAAAAACAAATTTTCGAACGCAAAAACGAAAAATGCACCGATAATTGATTCAACTACCCAAACCCTACCTAAAACCACCTAAACCCCATGATACATGTATCATGCCTAAACCCGGTATAGCATACACCCAGCCAACTGACCGTCAGTGACTAACGGCGCGAGCAGATCAGGCAAGACAGAGTAAGCATGTCGACACGGTTTAGAATATTCGAGCACTGGTCTACTATTGTCGCAGGTCGCAGATCGCAGAACATAAGCCTGCAAAGCACCCAGAGACGTTGCGATGGAGCAAGGTTGTTATGTGAGTTGTCTACAATTGTCGCGCGATGTGCTTTTGTTGTCCAACCAGAGCAATTGTTTTCTTTATAGCCACAGTGTGGCTAACTTAGAGGTGGTTCCCCTAAATTTAGTGAAAAAAAAACAGAGATATGGATGGATCCATATCTCTAAAAAAACTACTTGGCGTTTATTTTTAGGTAAAAAATGTTTAAGAGTTTATATATAATTTTATTTGTATATTATATATATATATAATATATATAAAAAAAATTCACTGGAAAATGGCACACAATTTTTAGGGAATAAAAAGTGTTGGTGACACTGGGTTGAGTATTTCACACCATACCATACCAACAGCTTTTAATTTTATGTCTTTAGTATTTGTTTTCGAGTGTAGTGTTTACGAATTGTGATTATTAGTGATTATTCATTTATTATGTTTCCTAAACAACGGGATTTGCTTATGGCTGGTGCAATTCTTAATGCCGCTACCGAAAATTTACATGCAATATTGTATCTTCGTTCACGCAGGAATACGAGGTAATTAAATGTGCAAAAAATGTTAGATGCCTTTAAAAAACTGGGATACCAGTTACAAAAAATGTTGCCTATTTAATAAATACAAA